ATGCAAGATCCGGTAGCGCTCCTCGCCGCGCAGTACTTTGAACAAGTCGACCCTCCGAACCTCGCCTTCCCCGACGGCCCCACTCTCGTCACCCCCGCCATACAAAATGCGATCTACGAGAACATGTTCAACGAAGACACAGCATGGCCTCTCCCTCCAGCTTCATACCAGACTCGTGTTTTAAAGGCCATTATCGCACGGATCGAAGAAGCAATCCGCGATCCCGAGGAGGATGTATGAGTATGCCTACGCTTTTTTTTCACGCCCGCCCGCAACGACCGGAAGTAAACACATTGGGTACGGAATAAAGGCTAAAACATCATGAACTTGATAGGAAATCCTCGACAGCCTCCTCGAGAAATGGACCTCTCTCCTCTCGACACCCAGGTCCTCCGCCCTCGAACAGGCTCAGAAACTCACATACATCAGATACACCGCTCCTTCGCCCGCCGCAGTCTCCGAAAACATAGAGTCAAGAACAATAATAACTTCCGAAAACCGCTCTCTAATTCTTGCCTCAGGGACAACCGGTTTTCGTACCTGGGAAGCTGCCCTTCATCTAGGTACATTTCTCTCGACTACCAATCTCGGACAATCCCTGGTTGCAGGCAAGCGCGTATTAGAGCTAGGCGCCGGAACAGGATTCCTCTCCTTTCTGTGCGCGAAACACCTAGGCACTGAGAGTATCCTAGTCACGGACCGCGATTCAACGCTTCTCGAGCAGATTGATGATTGTGTTGGGAAGAATGGCCTTGAAAAGACCAAGATTCGAACGGCAATCTGGGAGTGGGGGTCACCACTGCAGGTTCCTTCATTTTCTCATGAGGATGGATGTGCAACAGGGAGAGGCCCGTCCGACTTTGACATTGCGCTGGGAGCAGATCTTGTATGTCGTCTTGTTCACTATATTTGGAGAGAGACTAATCGGATAATCAGATCTACGACGTCGACCTCGTCCCCCTACTCGTCTCCACGATCCGAGATCTCTTCGACAATTACTCGTTGAACGAGTTTGTTATCTCCGCAACAGTGCGGAATGGGGATACTTTTCGCACATTTCTAAACGCCTGCAGTAAGTTTCGTCCTTCTGCTAGCCTCCCACCCACCCTCCAGAGATGTTTCTCTTCTCTCCTTGTTTTGTAGAGATCTGATATCTTGTCTATCTGTAGAACGGAACCGCCTCGCTGTAGACCAGATACCCTTTGACTCTCCGCCAAGAGAGACACAAACGGGCTTCTTCCATTCGACCGGTATCCCTATACGGACATACCGAATCAACGCCCTATCTTGACGTTCAGGTCTATGTATTCTTCTAATCAATAATGGAAGGAAGATGTTTTCAATTCAGCCCCACAACGAATGAGTTTCAGTATCAAATTCAAATTATGGTCCGGTTCGGTGGTACGGTATACAATGATAGATAATGTAAGGAAAGTGAGTTCCAAAGATCGAATATGTGAATGAACAGGGAAGGAAAGACAAAAGAATGCGGCGTGTGGCGTGGGTATCGTAATTTATGAATGAAGTGAAGAACACCAAGTAACCAAGTCAGTCACCGAAGTAAAGCCAAATGAGGGCCCGTTCCAGTCCAATGCAATCCAGATATGCAACGCGGCGCAATGCAAGCGATTCAACAAGTAATAAAGCAACCAATCCATGACACTAGATGGTAGGTATATAACGAGAGTAAGGATCAAATATGGCAAGAGAATGGGATATGAAGATGAACGTGTACGTGAGAATCACTCAGCGAGACTCTCCCTCAGCAAGCCCTCATTCAATTGCTCAGCATGAATAGAGACAGGTGGTGGAGGCGGAGGCCGAAATCCCATGATTGGACCCTTTTGATTCACGCCTGGGTACCTGAATCTCATGGGTGGTCGCTTTGCTGGGGCTGAAGAGGATAGCGCAGATGTTCGCTCGGACGAGACTGTGGACGAAGCGGAGGATTGCGCTGGTGAGGTTTCCTCCGTGAGCGGCTTGAGGCTGTTGCGGGAGGCGACTGGGGCAGTACCCCAGCGGCCACGAACCCAGCCGCCGACACGGCTGCCGAGGGTGAGAATGCGGGTTGGGGTGAGGGCGGTGTCGTGTATAGGCGAGGACGAAAGGGTCGGGTTGTTGTCAGGTTGTTGCTGTGGAGAAGCGTGAGTGGCTGCGACAGAAGCAAGAATGGATTGGGGTGACTGGTGCGAAGGCTTCGCGGGCTCTCGGCCAGCGGTGACGGTCGTGGTTGAAGTTAGCGTAGAAGAGAGGTCGGACGACAAGATTCGGCGCTGGACACGGATTGGGAGAGCACCAGAGGTGAGCTCGGTCATGCGGGATGGGCGATGACTGGGCGTGTGGATGTCCATGCCCGCAACTGAGAACAGGCTCTCGTGGGAGGTAGATCTACGCACTGTCCGGTACGGCGAGGATGTGGAGAATATGTCCTCATCCACGGTAGGAGATTGAGTTCGAGAGATGGACAGAGCATCTTCAATTTCTTCCGGGATGACTGACTGCATCGGGAGCTCGCTAAACTCTTCATCGCTCATGGGACCGCCGTCAGTCCCATCTAACGTGCGGTATGCATCCAAAGGTCCGCCACTTTTGTACCGTCCGTTCCGGAGTGGCGACGTAAAGACTGCACTGTCAGGGCTGGTAGGCTGCGACGAATCGAAACCACGCTCCACGCGATCAAATATAGAAATGGACGACCGATAAGCCGACTGAGGCGAACTAGCCATAGAATCAGGCGCCGCAGCAGACTGCCGCGACCAACGTTGTGACGAGGGCGGGGGTATCGAGACGGACGTTTGCGACAGTATTGTGGAGGCAGATGAAGTAGAAGGCTGAGACCGATGCTTGACCTTGCGGGAGGTTTGTATACTTGTAGCAGAATGCAGAGGCGGGTTCCCCAGAGAGCGGCGCTTCTTGGACCGACGAAAAAGAGAGCCCTTCTCCTTTTTCGCAGCCGTCGGGGTATGGTAGTGATGGTGGATGTGGAACTCTTGTGAAACCCGATTCGCCTCGTTTGTTTCCAGCTCCTGGCTCAACGTTGTCGCTGGTCGGTCATTCTCGACTGCACCAAGAGGCTGGTGCGATAGAATCTGATCGCGCAGGTTCTGTACCTCTTGGTTGGAGCTCTCAAGCATCTCCCGCAACTCCATAACTCCCAACTGTAGGTTGGCATTGTCCTGGAGGATGTCCTTGACGAAGCGCGATACCACGCCGCTTGTACCGTTCGCCCGCCCCAGATTCTGAGCAGCCGCTGCTCCCTTGAGACGGCCTGCTGCGCCCTCAAGCTCTCGTTCAACTGCGCGTCGACGCTCCATTCGCTGGACTAATTGGGCATGCCGCTCGCGCTCCTCGCGAGCCTCTTTTTCAATGCGATCCACCTGGTCATGTAGATCTCTCAATGTACACTCGGCCTTCTTCCACCGCTGCATTGACGATTTGGAGTCTTCCTGAGCCATCAGCAGGGTTTCCTGCAGTTTCGACTGCTCCGCTTCCATATGAGCCAGCTGCGCCTCGAGGTCGGCGGCGCGCGCCGCCGATGCAGTCAAATTGCGCAGCTCCGCCTCGCTACTCTCCAGCGCAGCGGTTAGCGTTTTGGCATGTGTATCAGAGTCCGCAACGGCCTTGTTCAGGCCGTCTAGCTGCTCGAGTAAGCTTCGATTTTCCTCGACGATGCGAGCATTCTCAGCCTGGACCTGGCGCTTTTCGCGCTCTAGGTTGTCAATGCTCGCGAATAACCGGCGGCGGTCCTCTTCCGCCTCGGCCATATAAGATTCATGGCGATGAAGTAGAGCCTGGAGAGCAAAAGTTAGCGATGACGAGCTCATTGCAGACCCTAGCGATAGAAAGCGAGTAAACGAACAAGACAACGGGACAAAATCGGGGACTGGTATTTCGAATCCATCGCAATGAACAGACTGGGTATCGCGCGTTCCCTTGGTTCGTCCGTGCAAAGGGGAAATCCACAACAAGAGGAATTCAAGCCTCAGCAAGCAATGTAGATGATGTACAAGAAGTACGTATGACAGAAAACAACAAAAATGTAGGAGAGTAAACAATGGATGAGAAATACCAGTCGTGCCACCAGATGACGGCCTAACACCCAACCCAAACAACCGAAAATAAGCACATGCATAAATAACAAGGAACGTACCTGGCCTAACCGCGCGGCGGTCTCGAGGTCCTTCTCAAGCCCCTCCAGCGCAACATGGTTGTTTTGGAGGTATGCGCACTCTGTCCGGCCACAGCAGCAGTAGAGATCCTCCCGACTGGTGGACGAGGAGTGGGTTGGAATGTAGCTTTCCACCTGGCTCGTGCCTGTCGTTGCACCTGCGCTGGGCGTGTTGGGGCCAGGGCTACGCCAGGGTTCGGATTCCATGGCTGGGGGAGTTCGTCCTCTCTAGCGCCAAAGTTGGCGAGAGACAAACTACCGTTGGAGCAGGCTGCAGGAATGCAGGAGGTGGACTACCTAGTAGCCGGCGTATGTGGATGAGGTGGCAGTGACACCGCCCGTGTGGAGCGATGAGCTGGTAAGGTACCGATGCAAGGGCCTATACCAGGTCATCGAAGCTGTAGGTGGGTTGGAGAAGACTTGGAAGAAAGAGAGAAGAAAATGAGGGGAAACGAAGTCAGTTCGAGTTCAAGTCCAAGTTGGGTGAGACGAGACGGATTAGTCCCTCCTCTTCAACCATCGCTATACGTAAATAGACCGAGGGTAGCTCTATCTCAAGGCAAAAACCATGAGTCCAACCAATAATACAGACAACAGACAAATCATCATCATCCAAAAGCAAAAATGGAGCCAGAGGCTCTGCTTTCTCTATGAAAAAAACAAAAAGTACTAAGGCCCGAACCGCGGTTTGAACGCGGGACCTCTCCGACCCAAACGGAGAATCATACCACTAGACCATCCGGGCGATAGGTGACGGAGAATTACGTTATACAAATCGTTAGTCTTTTACCGTATTTTATCTGTTAAAACGATGAAAAAGAGAAAAAGATAAGGCCCGAACCGCGGTTTGAACGCGGGACCTCTCCGACCCAAACGGAGAATCATACCACTAGACCATCCGGGCTATTATTACTAAGGTTGGTAGACTTGTTATATAGTTGGTGACGGTGAAAGCTTCGATGGTCAAGGATGTAATCGTCTTTTACTTAGACGGGTATACAACGTAATTATTCAATAACTTCCATTGAATACTGACTCGGTTGTATTATCATTATATTGAGGTTATTAGCGTGTTTGGAGGTTGCGTTTGGTCTAAAACTTTCGAGATACATGGGAGTCAAAGACATACAATCAATGCGTGGAATTATGGTACAGAGCCCAACAGGGCAGGAAGCATATAGTATTACCCTAGGCCAACCTAGATATTCCCCCTCCCAACTTGTTTGGCCTCTGGGGGCCATCTTAGGGCTTCACCCTCTTGGGTTTGCCAAGTTGCCCCCTTATTATTATTACCGGCCAGCCCACGTCTTGAAGAAATACTGCTTTTCTTCAGAGCTATCATGAAAAAGCAAAAAATAGAGACAGATGAAACTTGAAGGCGGTGCTGATCAAACCGTACTTTCTCCTGATCGAGACGCGTACAACATTTGTAATTTAGGACTATCAGCAGAAAAGCAGAGTCAAGGTGTTTAGGTATCAGTAATAGGAATATCAGACCATACACAGTCTTTCATCATCAAAGAAATGACCCGACCAGGTTGCGCCGAGTCGAGGGTTCGTCTCATCTTTTTCATGGATGTCTGCCGCTCTGCTTCAATGACCGGCAGAGGTCTGGCACCACCTGTGATGAAAACACAGTATATTACCGGCTGGTGTGCTACATCAGCTAGCCGTACGGGCTCAAGTATATCTGGCGAAACTCCTCACCGGAGGGGAACGGAGGAGGGAGGTATGGTAACTGATACAACAGGTAAAAATAATCACAAGAGTGCCAGTCTTCAGATGCCGGTCTGCGAATGCCATATGAACATAATAAACCACAGTCCCATCCAGACGCGCCGCAAAACAACTCGAAGTAGAACTCATTGTAGAAAGTCATTGCGCACATTGATGAACGCCCCAGCGCCTCCCTCTTCACTGATCTCGTTGACTAATACTTCTGTTTGTTGATACAGCCGCTCCAGAGCCGCTGCTGATGACTTGCCAAGTGATACTGGACACGTTAGTTATGAGCCGTCAACGAGGAGGGCAGTGACCGTTACCTAAAATCGCCGAGTTCAATTCTTCCGCAACAGCAACGCGTCCAGCTGGATTCAGATAGTGACCATGCACCGAATGCTTGGGGTCCGGGTAAGCCACAAGCGAGAAAATGTCATCCAGCATCTTCTTGTCCCCTCCGTTCTCGTCGTTCGGGTAGTCTATTCGGAGTTGCTGCCCATACTGCACTGCCTCAGTTAGCAGCTGATTGGACTTGGTTGCGGTCTCGCTCTCTTCCATGTCCATGCCATCAACCTCCCAGCCGTCGCGGTCATGCATCTGTTCATCAAGCTCCATTTCTTCGTCAAATATAGCGCTGTCAGAGAGGCCGTTGGTAGCTTTGCCCTTCTTTGCTACTGACGACAGCTCGGTGGAACGCCGCATCATCTCCAAAAACTTTCGGCACCGTAGTTTGAAGTGTATGTGGGGGTATTGTTGTAGAACATTGGCATAATAGGCGTTGGTATATTTTAGAGCTTTATCAATATCGCCCTCGAGAATAGCCGCCCGAATTTCTAAGATCAGTTAGTAAGATCTACCAGATAAACAATGTGTGCTTCATACTTTGTCGGTTGATCGCTTCCAGATCCTCTTCAACTTCGTACTTTTTCAGCTGCGCCTGGCGGCCATTCTCTAGGGCTGCCGACTCAGCCGCAACCTCTTCAGCAAATGCTCGAGCAGTCTCTACGTATCCATCATGTGCTAAAAACTGCGCAACTAGTTCCTGCAAAAAGGCAGATTCATCCAGTGGGGGTTGAATGTTGGCGATGCTTGTCAATCGGATTTCTGAATGAATGACAGCTTTCTCTTTCTATTGGGTGAATTAGCCGTTGTCCCGTACCTAGTCCTTGATAACCAAGTCCGCCCGCATCACGTACCTTGACCATGCCGTCGATATCGAACATAAATGGTTGTTTGCCAAAATTGACGGATAAGTGCACCGGGGGTTGTTTCTTCATCCCCACGGATGGGTAGACTTTCAGATTTCGTAGTTCCCGGAACGCGTTACCTGGAGGCGTTAGAACGTCATAGCCTGTCTCTGTAAACTCATAACATACCTAGAAAGACACCGTTCTTTGTGAAGAAGGCACAGCCACTCGAAAAGTTCACCCCGCATCCCACAGTATCATTGACGCCAAAGGTCGGCCCATATTGTCGCCCTTGCCCTTGACTCTCGCCAAAGAACGATTTGCCGTCATCGCCGTGGTATGCCCATGATTCCTGTTCCCAGCCCGGAAGCCGCTCGACCGACGCTTTGCTACTCGAGAATCCTATTCCAATCATCCTATTCCTATCAGCATATAACAATACATAGAGAAATCTTGTCACCCAACTTACCCTTCCTTGGGTTTAGAATGTATAGTAATCTCAAAGTAGTAAATGCCACATTGCGGCGGCATGGGATGATCTGCTCGCACCGCCGCGGCTTCATGCTCCTGCTTGTTGACCGGTCCGGTATATCGAATCTCCAACCCTTCATTCGGAAGCTCCAGGCCTTGATATTTATCCGAGTCATTCCATCGTGAGGGAAGCGGCATCGGATTGTCGTCGTCACCGGCGGGTTCCCTGTCGATGATATCATACGTCATTCCGCGGTATGAAGGCGCGATTCGCGGTGCGCTTCCCTGGATTGAAGCAACCGAAGCTCCATCACGATGGGAAGCAGATTTTGCACGGCGAGCAGCATCAAGGCGGGAGATGTACCGGGAGTTGCGGAGGTAGGAGGGTGTAAAGGAAGAAGCTGCGTCGGAGAAGCTGCCGGGGCTTTGGAAAAAAGGATCGAACGCCGGAAAGCTCGCAAACTTTCTAGAGTATGGAGGGAGCGAGTCCCCGGAGGAAGACCTCCAGGAGTTCATCTGCATATCTGCATCCACGGCGGTCGAGTGCCTAGGCAGGCGAGCTTCGGGGTGAAAGGGCGGGGGATAAGATGAAGTGGAGACCGAGTTCGAGTTCGAAAACGGAGTATTGGTTTGGGTAGCGGGAGTTCCTGAGAGGACGGAAGCGTAAGAAGAGCGACGGGGAACAGAAGAGATGCTCGGTGTAGGATATGTCGTGGTGTTAGGAGCTCGAGGAGCTCCACCGGAAGGGGAAAAGGGTGTATCGGTCATTCTGGCGTTGACGTTCAGTGGAGGAACAGGTCCTCAAGGCGGGTACTCGTGGAAGATGTCCTCTCACGCGCCGCTCTCAAGGTCTCGACTGGACATCAAAACACCAGTCAACCCGCAGGACGCTCATCAAACTTTCTCTTCTCTTCTTTCTCCTGTAGCTTCTATATGCTACCGGAGTGCGTATTCCTCTCTCCGGAACCCGATCTTGCGTGGTCCCTGAAGCTATCGATGATTACTTAGGGTGGGGAGGTGGAGTAACAGGTAAATGTCACAGTGACCAAAACGAAGATGGAGATGATAATTTGGTTATCTGTATGGAGTATGATAAAATGATTCAAGGAGTCAGAGACCGTTCAGCTGCTCAATAAGAACTTGAAGCAACTCTGAAACCCGTTCCTGATGAGAGCAAACATCACTATCCGTGCAACGGGAATGAAGGTAAAAATGAGACTCCCGTGAGACAAAAAATGAGATAAACTTGATGGAACTAGCGGTAAACGAGCCGTAGAAACTGACCGACCCGACGGCGAGGGAGAAAAGGGGGAGGAGACGTAAAAGGACAGCGCGAGTTGTTGATGGCATGACCAACAGCGAGAAACTGCGGGGGAAGGTCAAGGCCTCAACTTACGGCAGCATAGCCGGTTGAGGGGAAATAACGAAGCAGTCCGATATTACCCTCCATCCTGCCGATATTACTATTGATCAATCTTCTACCCCATCTCTCTCCTGAGGCTTACACAGTTTCCACCCACAACCCAAATACCGGAGAGGTAATCCATACAATCCGGGTCCAATCTATATATACCTGCCGAAGAAAACCGCCCGGACACTTAGGAATCCTGTTTATACTATTCGATATTAGCTTCGGACTCGAACAGGCTTGTTATCGACATCGAGCAAGGATGGCTGAAAAGGTCTTTGAACAAGCAAAGGTGAGGTGGTTGGTCCAGAAGAGGTTATAAAGGATTAAGTGGTTGTTCCGTACGCCTTCTTCCTCAAGACTAGGTGTCTTCAACAGGCACCATGGGTAGCAGATAGATCATCGCTTTGAGGTTAGCCCATAATGCCCTAGTTGAGTTATATTAAGAGACAAGCATGATCTATGTGGTAATGCTTCCGAGAGCAAATTCGTCCACTCGGAGGACTGATCCTACCATGCTCCCAGCGTTACATAGTTGAGAGCTATAAAGATGCAAGACAGACATGACATGAAATGTGTTAGGAAGAGATGTCACATCAAGGTCAATATCGGGACCGAAGCAAGTCTGCCAGGGAAATATAGTAAGCAGTAGTTGAGGCTCGCGTGACCATTCCAATAACCGAACCAACGCCAACCGTGAGTTAGCAACCGAGAAAACAATCCGCTTCTTAGCCACCAAAGGAACAAAAAAGTACACATCAAGAAATAATATACAAGAAAGAAAGAGGAAAAAAAGCTTGTTTAATCCGAGCCCAGCCTAGGCGGCCATGGCCAGGGCGGGAGAGGATGCCTCAACCATACTGGGAGGAGCCGGTGTGAGGTCCCCGTCACCAGAGTTGCTCTTTTCACTAGGGACGCCGCTTGCGCTTTGGTTGGCTCTGCTGTCGCTGTCACCAGTCTCGAGAACACCGTTTTTCGTGTCACCGTCCGTTTCCTGTTTCTGGCCCCGGGGTGCGCGCCAGGAAGGTAGCTGCCATTGTATTCCGGTAAAGCTCTTGAGCTGCAAGGGCTTACGCTCCCACTTGCGGCACGGGGCACCAGTCCGATCTAGGGCACGAA